CTTTTCTGCAGTGGTACTGCATTTTAAGGTGTTTTTGATTTGTATTGTGAGACAGTGTTTTCTTTATCTTATTTCCTTAATTTTTTTTTTAATTACTAAATTTAAGGGGGGTATTTTATTTTTGTCCAGCGAAGGGTCTAAAAACCTAAAAAAAAAATTAAAGCTAATGCTTTTTTTTTTTTTATTCCATCATGTTGTTAAATGGCTTGCAGTGTACTAATTAGCTTCTGATACCGCTTGCTGCTTACGTACTTTTGTTGAAGAGAGAGTGAGGGTAGTGAAAAGGGGGTTTGTAGTAAGTTTCATAGCATCGAAAAATTTTATGTAGCGGCATTGTATGAATTCCGGAACTGCCGACAGCTCGAAGAACTGGTGTAGTTCTTCTTGCTTCATCTTTTTCAGTGATGTTAAGCGTACATTTTTTTTACTTTCCTACCTATACTAGGTAAGGAAAGTATTGCAATCGGGTCCAATTTCCGACGGATCTATACGTTTCACAGCCCCCTGAGTCTGAAAAACACATTTTTAGCCATTGGTCTGTCTGTCTGTGCCAAGATTTTCTCGGGAACTACTGAACCGATTTTGTTGCTTCTTTTTTTATTTTGTAGGGTTTTGATTACTGATGCCTGTGACAGAAATTCGTTGCTCCATGTGTAATAACTTGCGCGCAATAAATGAAAAACAGGTTTTTCTATAGACTGTAGCGCGAAAACTGCTCTAACGATTTTGATGAAACTTTTCTGTGATATTCTAATCATTGCCCTTTCAATTTTCGTATATAGACTAAATTCCCGAAAAAAAATCAGGAAAAAACTTATAAAGAAAATAAAAATGTTATGGGGCCTAACTCCCTAAGTATATATTATACCGTGAAATTTATAATAAAACTTTTGAAAGGTAATTAAATTACCAACAAAATATTTTTAAAAAATCATCGGAATCGAACCAGTATTAGCGACGATACAGCTTATTCTATGTTTTACACATTTTTTAAACTTATTTTATTACTTTCATACCTACACTAGGTAAGGAAAGTATTGCAATCGGGTCAAATTTCCGACATGCGGTTTTCGACGGATCTATACGTTTCACAGTCCCCAGAGCAGTTTGTGATTCTATGAAGCTATCTCGTGAGATGAAGATCTAAGGTAGAGATGGCGTCATTTCTATTATGTCGAAAGGTATGAGTGTCCGAACGGACAGCTGTAAAGAATGTTTTTGCCACTATCTTACCTGCTCCGTTCGTGTAGAAGAGTAGAAGTGTTTACCAGCATTATTATTAAAAATGTTAATACTGTACCAGTACCAGTATTAATTATTATTCCCACTGATATCCAATATTTGCCGAAATTCTCCCAGTGAGCTTCGAGGTCGGTGGTATAAGCAAGTAGTATGTATGTGGGTTGCCGCATTAAAAGTTGTATCGTTAGGTGGCTTAATTTGGTTTCGGATAGTCTGAAGTTTCGGCATATTCTGCCATTGGATACCATGTCGAATCGCCCTCAATTCGCCTCCGGTAGGTTGTGGGCATCATCGGTATCTAAAGGGTATCCTTGGATGCGTATTGGTCGGTTAAAAAACGTAATAATATACAATATTTACTAATGTTAAGCTATTTTTTAAACGAGATTCGCTATGAATGTTTCTTATAAAACTCAGAATTTTCCAAAAGGTCCATTTTTACCAACAATCATCAGTATTATTTGATACTATACATAGTTGTAAATGGAAATGGAAAGTGATGCAAACGTATAAATTTAACCGATTCGGTGTGAGGGAAAAACATGGCAATCAATCATTTTGACTTCCACGTACAAGAACATACCTATGTACTCTGTATATGTAAAGCTGGTAAGTGGATGTTATGTGATTCGCGTACCCCACGAGATTTTTTTTAGTTAGTTTTTGGAATGCTGATAAACTTTTGTTCTCTGAGACATAAGTTTTCTAGTGCTGAATTCATCATGTTTCTGATATTTTTATGCTTTCAAGTGTTCCTACTATCTGATTCAATGAATATTAATATTCTGAAAATATAAATGCAAATAATAAATATGCCTGAATATATTTTATAATAAATAAATACAATTTAATAGTATGTTACCGAATACATATTTTTTAAAAGTTAAGTGTTTTATTTCACAGCCTATTATTTTATGAAATTAGATATCATACAATACTGTTTTTACCTAAATCCGATTCTTCGATATTTCAGGTAAGTAATCGTACTGTAAAACTAAGTATTTTTAACAATGTTTACTTTAATTTAACTCATGATTTTGTGGAGGAAAGGATATTCAAAATCAAGTAACTTTAAAGTTTTATTTACAAAATGTTGAATAGTTACATTTTTTAAATTATAAATAATTTAATAAATGTTTTCTAAGTGGTCTTAAAAACCAACTTGATTGTGGTGGTCGTAAACACCTCACAATTGTGGGTTTTACCTCTATGAGTGACTGTAAAAATAGTCTGGTCGCAATACAAAATGATAGTTCAGAATTAAACATTAAATACAGTAATTATATATAAATATTAAACTACGCATATTTTACGAAAATAATTACAAAATTATCTAACAACAAAAATACTAGAATATAATAAAAGAATAATACTTGGTAAAATTAGAATGATATCAATATCAATCCTATATCTTCTGATATGAAGGCATAGATATTTATAATAAATGTCTCGATAGAAGTCAAAAGACCAGGTGAAAGGCCAAAAAGCAGATGCATGGATAAGATATACAAAGACGCCATAGGAGGCCCTAGCGGATCCAGGATTTAATTTTGGGGATTTTAACATGGTTATATTTTACTATTTCGGAGAGGGCTTCAGCCCGAAAGCTTTTTTTTTTCATAAAAATAACGATAATTACTTTGGAAAAATAGAAAGAAACTAACTACCTATATGAAATGGTGTTTAAGTCCTCTTAAATGTAATTACACGAACAATTATACACTGACAGACAAAAAAATCCACCCACTTGTTACCCATTAAGAAACCACGTTGGAAAGGTTGGCTCTGAGAAAAATTACAGGATGCATATCTTTCGTTTCTTCTTCCCCACACCCTTTCACGCCCGTCTGGAGATTGAACAGCGAATCTTGACTCATCTGTAAAAAGTACAGCACTCCATTCGTCCATAGTCCAATGGCTGTGTTCTCGAGCAAAAGCCAGCCGTGTTGCTCTGTGAGTTCTGGTCAACTCTGGTCCTCTTACTGGACGAGAAGCTATTAATCCATACTCATTTAATCTTCTCCGAGCGGTACGTTCAGAAATTTGCACACCTCGAACTTCTTCGAGCTGATAAATCACTTAAACAACGGTAAGATGCCGGTTTCGTAAAATTCTCAAAGTCAAAAACCGGTCATCCCATGGTTCTGTTACCCTAGGCCGCCCAGAACCGGGCCTTCTATTGTAAGAACCAGTTTCCCGAAAACGCCTGACGGCGTCTCGTAAAGTTTCATATGGAACTCCGATGGCATTAGCTGCATATCTAATGGAACGTCCATCATTAATAAGTGCCACACCTCAGCACCAAGAGGCATTTTTAAACTTAATATTGTAAAAATTAGCCGGAGACTAAGAAATTTGCTGCAAGATACGGCACTGAACTGATGATACTAAATAAACATTTTGATTCCATAGAAAGTAAACATTGGAATCTAGAATCATTTCATTAAATTAAGGATTAAGGGTATTGTCCTCTTTATTAACATTCCTAATTGAAAACAAACAAAAAAAATTACCTATTTATTCATTAAAAACAATAGACCAATCCAAAGCAGAAATATTTTTAGATGAAAACATAAAAAAATCAAGTGGGTGGAATTTTTTGCCTGTCAGTGTAGATGAATGTCTACATACATATATATATTGTTTGTTTTTATAACAAAACCGTTAATACCTTCCATTAATGTTATGCTTATATAAGAAAAATGTCATGTTTGAAGCACGAATATTAAAAGAATTAAATGTGTTACAACTAAATATTTTTTTTTTATATTCTGTAGAACTCTGCATAACATTACGCATCTAGCATTGGGATACAGCCAACCTTAGCCACACCACTGTTCCTGAAGCAAATTTTTCCAACTGCTTCATGGCAGTTACGCCACTGATTTTGTGAGTTGTCATCCAAGTAAGACAATGTACAAATAAGATTCAACTTCAAGTGGTAAGTTCTGATTCAACTGATATCCACTGCGCATGTGTCGCATCGTTATCTTACGCAAGATTGGGACATTAAACGTGAGGAAGTTTACATTTTCTAAACTTCTTAATTCTTTTAGTAATAATTTTAAAACTCTTAGTTCTCAGAGTGCATTGATCCTCAATTTTAGTCAATTGAATTAGACAATTACACTCAGCTTAAAAATTAAGATCTTCATGTTTGCTGAAAGCAATCATTATTGAACTAAGAGAAATCCTACGTACCTCACCTCTTTCCCCAACAAGACGATGAATCTTAGTTAATCTTGGATTTCACCCTAGTCCTTCTTGCTTTTCCACGGCATTTCAGTGTGGGACAAAGATTAATTCAACGAGCATTATCATTAGAACATCTTGCTGTTTAAAACTTCAATAAAAATATTTCTATTCTAATTAACCTTTAGATAAAAAAAAAAAGAAAGGTAATAGGCAATAATATATTACAAAACTCAATAATATATAACAAAAACCAAGAACGACAATCCTGAAAAAAAATTGTAAACAGAAAAAATCTATGTTACTGGACGAGTCATTATCCCAGTAGGAGATTATAAACTTTGAAAATGATATTTAAAAAATATAAGATGCTAATTAAACAAAGACGAGATTTTCCAGTCGTTTTCATTACTTCATTTATCATGGTTAGTTAAATAACTAAACAACGTGTCAAATATATTTGTATTAGTTCCCTCCAATATATTTTTATCAAACTAAAAATAACACGCTTATCTACAACCAACTTTGCGATAAGATTCGCATTAATTCAAGAGCAAGATAATATCATTAAGAAAGAATTTTGACACTGGGAATAACCGTCTATTTATCAGGTAAGAAATTATTAATGATTTTTTTTATTTTAAATTAAAGACGGCAATAATATCATAACATTGTGTTCGGGCGTTTTGAGACGATTTATTTTTGACTGTAGCGGTATTTAATACAGTGGATCATTATTATATGATGTTTATCAATTACCTATTGTCTTTTCTATGTTTTTACCTCTTAATAAAAAAAAAAAAAAAACAATAATCAGTATAACTTTATTCATCACACATAACTAGTTTTTATCTTAAATACTGTTACAAAATTTGAACTTTACATCCTTGGGTATTATTTAGATAATTCTTAGCTTTATCAGGTTATTTTCTTTATATGTCAGGATAATAATCCCAATAAGTTTGTATTTTTCTTTCGCTCAGTTAACTTGGAGTATGGTGATAAAGAAAACGAAATAGCTGTCTCGTACACAAATTTGGAAAATGTAGATAAGAGATTTTCAACACTTTGAAACCTTTGGGTATCAGCGGTATGTTCTTGTACCTCACTATAAATAGAAATAATGAGACCCTATATGTATGTTAAAGACCCCGCACAGTGAGAACGGCAAGTGCAATGTGAGCAGAGGATGCTCGAATCAGAAGAAATTCCATTTCAAAACAACAAATCATGTGTCGGGAAATAGGAATCTCTGTCAGATCAATGTCTCGTATAATGGAAAGTGACCATAGGATGGGTGCATTTCGAAGAATGGCAGAAGAAAGGCTAACCACTTCTCTAAAAAAAAATTAGAGTGGATAGATGCAAAGTGCTTCTTGGCCGTTACACCAATGGTCTCCTTCGAAAGATTTTGTTTAGCGATGAGAAAATTTTTACAATTGAAGAAAAATTTAATCGCCAAAATGATCGTTTGTCACACAGCTACAAAACACACAGCTCTAAAGAAGCTGAGGAAGTCATTGGAAGAGTGGAAAGTGGTCATCACCCTTCCGCAGTGATGGTTTGGTGGAGAGTTTGCTTTGATGGCACCACAAAGCTCCATTACTGTGAAAAGGAGTTAAAACAGCCGCTAAAACTATCAGGACGTTATTTTGAAACCTTTTGTCAAGCCTCTAAATGAAACTCTGTTTGCTGGATGTCATTGGGTTTTCCAGCAGGATTCCGCTCTAGCGAAAAAGTCCAGGGGAACTCAGCAGTGGCTGCAAAAGAGCATTCTAGAATTCATCTCTGCCTCAGGGCCGTGATCTGAACCCACTAGATTATCGGCTTTGGTCCGGACTGGAAAGTTCCAAACAATCTCTGGTCCGAGCAGTTGAGGGCTTTCCTCAAGAAGTGCTGCCTGCTGCTATTGATAACTGGCCACGGAGATCAAATGCCTGTGTCAAGTAAAAAGGGAGACATTTTGAATAATTTCTTTTTTACTCTCTATAGATAAACATTTCATTTTCTAATAAAGGTTTTTGAAAAAATAAATTTTTCTGTTGAAATGTATATATATTGCCTTGTAACAATATTTATGAAAGGATTAGGTATATAAAAACACCATTGATATGCGTTCTACTGTTTGCAAAAAACGTATTTTTACGCGTCCCGACGACAATTAGTCAAGTTAAAGTTTTAAAAACGATTGAAAAGTTTGCAAAAATCTTTTATGAAATAATCAAACAAATTCATAAAGAAGATATTTCATTTTTGGCATCTTGCAAGGAGAGCATCTCAAATGAACTTCCATCAATTTTGATGAAACGTTTATAGGTGCACCTAGCCCTTAATGCTCTATTGCATATTTGTTGATTCTATCTATCCATCAGGTCTTTTTCCTTCTATTGTGGCATGCATTGTTTTGTAAAGCCAGATGGATTGCTCCGAGTTTCATGCCCACTCTATTTAACCCATCTTAGCTCATCCTAGCCTTCACATCATGAGGTGTTGATTAAGGCGTTTCTGTAAGCAGCTCTTTGTTGGTAATTCTTCTCCATGTGTTAGTACTCGGATTCCGGATCGCTCCGGTTATCGTCCGGAGGATTTTTATGGATGAGTGTACACCCTGAGGTGTTCCCTGAAGTACACCGGCTAAAATAAATCGAATTGAGGACAGACCTGAACCATGTCGAACGGAGAAAATTCTGTCTAAGAGAAAGGAATGGAGAATTAAGTAGTAGGTTGGTGGAAGTATGGTCTTAAGTTTGAAGAGAAGCCCCTGATGCAATAATTTGTCGAATGCTTGGGCGACATCCAGAAATACTTCGATTGCATGTAGTTTCCGTTCTAGTACTGTCGATATGTAGTTAGTTACCCTGTGTGTTGTTGTGTTGTTGAATGTAATTTTCGAAACCCTAATTGATGGTCAGGAATAATCTTTTGGTCTCTTAGTATATGTAATAGTCGTGAGTATAATAGTTTTCAAATAATTTAGAACACACTGGAAGCAAACTAATCGGTCTATATGACGAAGAATTGTTAGTTTCTTTGTCTGGCTTTTTAATCATGGTTATATGAGAGTATTTCCACTTTGTTGGAAATTTTGTGGTCCTAAGAATGCAATTGAAGTGAGAAACATTAGAGCTTTCCTTGGCATTTGCTGGAGCGCCTCAGCAGTTATCAAGTCATGTCAAGTCAGAAGTTTTTCTTTTCGGCAATTTTCTAATTTCTTGTGCAACTTGTGATAATGTGAAAGGAGGTGGTGGTAGTGTGAGCTGTAGTGGTATGTCTTAGTTATTTTGTACAAAAATATCATGTTCTGTGTTAACGAAATCCGTATGTGGTTTAAAAACAGAGGAAAGATGAGCAGCAAAGAGATCAGATCTTTCTTCGCCCGAAACAGCCCAAGAAAACATTAACTTTTAACTGCATCCTTTATATGTAACACAAGATTTCGTAAAATATTATAAAATTCTTTTAAAGTTGGTAAAAAAAAAAGATAATAATGAGTGTAATACGCCACTTTCAATCTACAATTAAATCTTTAGACGACCTTACATCAAATCATGGCCCAGTTCTACTTCCCTTGAATCCAAATCCTACTCTTGAACCCTTTCCTACATGCTGATTACTCGACAAGTAAACGAGGACAACATTCGACATCATCTAGAATGCCTGGCACTTCGTTTTCTGATCATGAAAATTTCGTTAAAAGGAATAGATTCACTTCGCTATTGGGAAACTCACATCAGTAGAAATAACCATCAGTAATAACATTTCACACTCATCGAAGTTAGGAATTTTCCTGAACTAATACTATTAGTAGTAAAGTTGCCTTATCATGGAGTAAAGTTGTCTTATCATGGATATTTTTATTATTTGTTAAAAATATCAAGCAGTTTCTTCCTGTATTATTCAAAGTGTCTAAGAGATCATAGGCCTATTCTCCCCTATTTATTTCCCTACGACTTTATTTATTTTTAAAGAAAAACAGTTGTGAGTACAAAATCTGTAGCTTCTCGTGTTCAATATTTGGTACAACCTAATGTTTTGTGCAAAACCCACTCGAGGCTTAATGAAATAATATATGTGGTATTTACTAAATTTACAATTAATTCATTTAAAGTAAATAGATATTTTTAAAAAATATTTTTCTTCATTGTCTCAAGAAAACAAAATACATTAAAAATAGCTATAACTATATAAAATTTCTACCTAAGAGAGTTAACTATTTGTGTTGTGGTTTTTACAGGAATGCAATGGCTACAAGAGTTACAACCTTCCTATCTAAGCCAATCAGCAAAAAACTTATAGAGGCTGTTAATTTTGGTTATAAAAATAGCAAAGGCAAATATTCAGAAAATTTAGACAGAGTAGAATGTATCATGATTTTGGCTTTATTCTACTGCTTTCTTAAGAGAGATTTAGCATTCTACTACATCTTACAGGATATGATGACGAAAATAGATGCGATAAAATATTCTGATTTTTGTTGGTGGTTATGGAGCAATTTCAAATTTGGCAAAGATGACGTTATAGCTGTTCTCTCGTTTGCTAACGACCTAGCTCGGAAAGGGGAACTAAGACTTCCTCAGCATGTTCTTGCTGTTTTTATTGATTTACACAACTGTTATTCAGATATCACAAGTTCCGAAGCTACGAAATACTTCAGTAACAAAGAAGAAAGACGATTGGACAAGACAAATTTTTCGAAGCAGGTTATTGTGTGTATATATTTTATAATGTGACCCTTTTTTAATTATTTTAGTTTTCTATTGATAAAAGACAAAACACAGATTCAGAAAAATACCAGAGAATTTTAAAATTATTCAATCAAGGAGTTATTTGAAGTTATTTTTTTGTTTTGTTTTTTAAATGTTGTGGTCAATGCCCCTTTGTATGTTGTGACCAAGAGACAACTTTATTGATTTTGAAAATTTTATATGATCTTTATATACTTGCTTTATATTCATAGCACTGAAGGTGTAATATCAAAGATACTGACGGTCTGAGGTACATATTGTGACAATTATATCGACATTTGTAATAATTATACCATGTTAAATAATATTTAGCGTGTATGATACATACATACATATGTGGCACGACATCCCGTTACCGAGACTGAGCCTCCTCCAAGAGCCTCCGCTAGTTGGCTCTGTCTTCTGTTGCAGCTCTCCAGTTCCGTACACCAAGCAGGGTTCTCGCATCATGGGCCACGTTTTTCAACCATCTCGTCCTCGGCCTTCCTACCCGTCTTGCGAGGTGCAGCTCCTCCATCATTATTTTCTTGGGTATTTCAACGGTGATCATTCTGGCCACATGCCCTGCCAGCCTTAATCTGGAAAGTTTAATATACGTGACTACGTCGATGTCTGTATAAAGAGAACTGAGCTCCCTATTTTTTCTTTTCCTCCAGACACACTCAGCTTCATCTCATCGTTTTTCGTCATCGTCCAAGCTTCTGAGCCATATGTCAAAACAGGCCGTACAAGGGTCTTGTACTCTTCTTGAAGGGGTATATAATCAGCTTGGTCTTCTTTGAGAGATACCTACTTCTTAAGTGTCGGCCAAGTTCAAAGTCATTTTTGCTATTAATTTCAGACCCAAGGTATACAAAACTTTTTACTCTCTCAAACTTAAAAGAACCTACCTCAAATGGAGAGTTAAGATCCACCTCACCACCAAGTCTCATATACTTAGTTTTCCTCTCGTTGACTTCTAGACCAAGTCGTCTGCTTCAAGTGCTATAAACTCTTCTCTGAGAGCTCGTTCAGACCTACCTATCATGTCAATATCATCAGAAAAACCAAGAAGCTGTGCTAGGCGATTGAAGATTATATCGCTGGTCTGAATACCGGAGTCCCTTACAGCTTTCTCCTCTGCCAAGCTGAACAATAGACAGGCAAGGGCATCCCATTGCCGAACCCCACTGCTCACTTTAAACTTTTCGGACGCATCAGAACCGACAGGTATTCTACATCTCGAGCTGTCCATGGTCATCTTGATTAGGCGTACAAGCTTCTGAAGGAGGCTTAGCTCCTCTAAGGCACAATATAGTTGTGTTCTATCAACGCTGTCGTATGCTCCTTTAAAGTCCAGGAATAAATGGTGGGTGACTACCTTACGCTCCATAGTCTTTTCTAGGATCATCCTCAGAGAGAACAGTTGATCAGTGGTTGAGCGTCCTCGTAGAAATCCAGCCTGATATTTCCTTTTAAGAATACGGGAGGATCCTCTCAAAAAGAATGTTAGAGAGCAGCTTATAAGCACACGAGAGGAGTGAGATTCCTCGATAGTTAGGGCATTCTGTTTGATCTCCTTTCTTATGTATTAGGCAGATAATGGCTGTTGCCCATTCCGTAGGCATAGCTTCCCTCTCACTGATGGTCAGCATTAAATCATGCAGAGCTTTCTTCAGTTCTTCACCTCCACATTTCAACAGCTCTGACTGGATTCCGTCCGGGCCTGGCGCCTTTCCATTTTTCAATTTCCTCAGGGCGTTTTCCATTTCATCCTCATCCGGGGGTTCAATAGAATTCAGGGAATCTTCCTTCATTACTCCTACTTCTCCAGGCACTATACTTGTAATAAGTATACCATGTTAAATAATATTGAGCGTGTATGATGGGGTTTACAATAAGCAGGGGTGCCCAGAAGGAAGTTCCATGCCGCAAGTTGTGCGATCAAAATTTTCGAGAGGGCACGTTTTTATGGGATTGTGAATTTTCGAAGTAAAATGTTTCAAAGCAGGGAATAAGAGGAAAAATATGGACCATAGCAAGTATAACTGTATATGATCTACAAGTCTTTTTTTTTCCTATCCCTCAGGAATTTATTTGCTATACAAAATATGATATATAAATGCATAATGAAATATATACACAAAAAAATTTCTAATTTCCTTTCATTGCCCAAGGGCATTTTAAGGTAAAAGGGCAATGCACGCTGTATGCGTACTTTGCATCTGTGGTCAGAGACCTTTTATTACTACAATTCTTGTAATTTTACTTTCGTTTTTAAGAAGAGGAGAGCATTATCATTTTGTGGGATGAGAGGAGTAGGTTATGCACCATCGACCTTGGGTTGTAGGGTGGACACCCTGACAACAAGCATACCCTTTGGAATAAACATTTGATATAATTATTGACGTTAAGCTCTCAATGTATACTAAGATTGAAAAATATATTTGTTAAATAATTGATATTACGAGTGGTAATTATAAGGGAATGTTCTGTATTACAGTATACTTTATTTTAACCGTTAAGTGCTTTTCTCTAAATTGTTAAGAAGACAAATCGTCTGACAGAAAATTGTGGAAAATAGCTTATTTTTTAAATGCATGCATCTTTTACTAATTTATCACTCATGAGTACAAAGTTATGGCTAATTTAAGTATGCTCCTAAATGTCGTCAATGCATATGAAAAGCTGTAATTTGTTTATTTTGAGCATGAAAGCCAACTATTTATACATGAAGGATCTATAGTACATATTAATGAACTGCGTAAAGTTTAAACAGATTATGGAAAATATATATATATATATATATTGGAAAATAATGGAATATTTCAAAGTTCTATTTGTCTCATTGGATACCCGGAATTTTTTTTTTTTTTAACTTATTTATTGAAAAGTATTACAATATGTCTCAAGGACATTTATAATAGTGTTCACAGATCACATTCACACTCTATGTTCAATAAATAAAATAAATTATACAGAAAAATAATATATATACAATAAATAAGAATGAAATAACCTAAAAATAAATGAATAAAAAGAACACATACATACATAGCTATATACAATATTTACAAGCTGGCGAGAGAACTCCAAACCAGACTTCTACCTCCAACTGTGGAGGGAAAAGCATGACTCCAGAAGATCCCTGCACTTCTATCTCAACCGCGTTACTGGAGCTAAACCCAGCGGAGATTGAGCAAGAGTGCTTTAGCCACATACACTCATGTCGTGAGTGGAGAATCTGGCCATTGCCAGAATTCCAATATTTACAAACTATAAAAGGTCGCGTGGCCACTGCCGTTTTAACCTCCTTGGGGGATTATATGGATGGGTGATGCTAGATAGAGATTGTGCAAAGGGATTTGGATGATGGGTAAGATTCTGGTGGAATTTGGAGAATTTTTCTGGGATAAGGTCTAGGACAAATGGGATATTAAGATCATGGTGTAGGGTTTTGTTGGTTGCACAGAAAGGAGCATTGATTATTGTTCGAAGGACTTTGGATTGGAAGGATTGGATGAGTTTGATGTTAGAAAATTTTACTGTTCCCAACAGTTCAGGTCCATAAGTCTAGATAGGTTTCAGTATTGTCTTGTAGATAGTAACTTGTTTTCAATGGAAAGTTTAGATTTTCTGTTTAGTAGTCGGTATAGTTGGCTGTATCGTCGGTTTAGTTCCTGTCTTTTAAGTCTAGTATGAAGGTTCCAAGTTAGTCGTCTGTCTAAGAGAAAGCCAAGGTACCGGACTGTGTCTGAGAAAGGAAGCTGGATGGAATTAAAGTGTACTGGTGGACAGGAACTGCGTCGGAGCGTGAAGGTGATATGTTGGCATTTGGATTCGTTTACTTTAATAAGCCATTTATTACACCAGTGCTCAATCAGGGAGAGGTGTCTTTGAAGGTTTAAGGATGCTATATCAGGATCTGAGTCGGATGATAGAATGGCGGTGTCATCAGCAAAAGTCGCTAGGAAGGTATCAGGATGGACAGGGATATCGGCGGTAAAGAGGATGAAAGGACGTGACCCAACACAGTACCTTGAGTAACACCTGCCTCGATTGGAGAGCAATTCGAAAATTCAGTACCGCAGCGAACTCGGAAGGTACGATATGAGAGGTAGGAACGGAGGACAAGGTATAAGGACTAAGAAAGATGGGTTTTAATTTAAAAAAGAAGCCCGGCGTGCCATACCCAGTCAAAAGCTGGAGCTATGTGCAGAAATTCACCCGCGCAATATTGCTTGCTTTCCAGGGCTGCGGAAATATGATCGACCACTCGAAGTCCTTGTTGGACTGTCGAGTGTTGGGAACGGAATCCAAACTGATATGAAGAAATATTTTGAGATTCTATAAAGGACAGAATTCTTTTCAGGAGGATCTTTTCAAGGATTTTTGAAAGGATTGAAAGTAGGCTAATGGGTCTGTAGGAAGTTAAGCTGTTGGAAGGTTTGCCTGATTTTGGGAATAGGATAATAGTATAATGTTCTGCCACGAGATGAAATGATGTCCTAAGGAGTTGAGAACAGAACTGAACTGGATATTGGATATGGATCTGTTAGGAGCGCAATATGCTGATGCTATAGTGACGGGAAAGGAGAAGGTTTTGATTACGATAGCGGTGAATTGTAGGAAATCTTGTATCGGCAATGGGAGCTGGTAATGAGAAAGGGAGTGGTGTACAATAACAGCAGTACCGGCATGTGCTTTACCGTCAGGATGGTATGTTATGAATTGAGGTTATTTTTAAATGCGGTTTTCTGGTCTTCCTGTGGCCATATGCCTGACAATTATGGCACTACACAATTTCTCTCTTGGGGTATGGTTTCTCTACTTTCACCATTGTGTAATATAATCTTGTGGTATCGTATATTTTCTCAATACCGGGTGATGGCTCTAGATCCACGAAAAATAAAGGTAGTGGAACTTTATTTTTTACTCCAGGCTGCTTCTAATTCTCTTTCAGAACGTTGGTTACCTGACGTACTCTGAAACCAAGCGGCGCTAATTTTTCTTTTATCACTTCAGTTGGGGTTGAGGAGTGTAAATTTCGTATTACTATTCGTAACGATCTCTTCTGCCTAAGCTGGTACGTATGAAAATTCACATTCGTTTCTGAGAGGTACTTCACTATTATTCGGTAGGTTTCAGCAGTATCTGGGGTTATTTTTGTATCGTTGGTCCTGTTAAGACATGAATAACTGCTAGAGCAGATTTTATTTAGTTGGATGCAGAACAACTGGAAATTTTTGATATTTTTCACAAATACCGGAGGAGGCCTTGGTTCTGTGGGTATAGCTGCAGACTCCATTACCTCTCGGTCATTTTGAAGCACTTGCTAGGGGTTTGGAGTAAAGAAAGGAGATTCTTCGATCATTTCTTGCGAAGAAGTTCCTCGTTGTGGCTGAGGTTCGGGTTCTGAAGTGTTCACTTTTGTTGTTGAAGATGTTTCTCGTAGGCAGTTAAATGAGTTCTTTGTTTGGCTGGTGAGCTAACTCCGTCTGTACGAGCCCTCTTGGGTACCTTACTGGACATCACTTGGTGAGTATACCGCATACCATAAGAGAATAAAGAAAGAAAGAAAGAAAAAAAATAGATTATAAAAAAATATATATCAAACAGCAATATCAACTGCTCTGGTGTACACGTGAAATGTATTCAATAAAAAAACAGAGAGATTTCGCTGAAAAATAGGCAAATACTGAGAGACCAGTTGAGAGCACAACCTTCCAATCAGCTGATCCACTCCGGAGATTTTTTAAGCATATTTTATATTTCATACTTTATATTGTTTTTAATTCTTATGCTATGATGTTCTGGAGCTTTTTATAACATAAAAAATATGGGATTTGGTTCTGAGATACATTATAATGTTATAATAGGATAATCATATATGCAATGAATACTTTTTTTTTTTTGTAGATTTTGAATCAACGAACGAAGTATCTTCTGGTTACACCTATTTATACCAAAATTGTGGAATCTGTAAAATTTGCAAACGGGCATAAAATAAGTGAATACCCCTTATATTTCGACCTTGAACAGAATATGATTTTAACATTATTTTACGGCCTTCTTAGAAGAGACGTTGCTCTTTGTGTTATCATTCAGGACATGATGTCAAATGCTAAAGTGGATTATGACCATCTATTCGAGTGGTTAAATTACACATTCGAGTTCGACAAACACGATGTTGAGTGCGCTGTAATGTTTGGACGCCATCACTTCCTAGAGCAGTTAAAGCACTCTGATAACTTTCTGTTGCTTTTCCTCCACCTAGAAAACAAATATTTCTTTGATGATTTTTTTCATCTCGAGGAAACTTCAGATGTATTGGATAAACTAAGATTGGATCCAAATAGTGTTAAGGTAATTTATTTAGAATAAAAATTGTTAACAATAATCATAACTAGTGATAGTCTAAATTTTAGACCTAAAATCATTTAGACTCTAAAAATGATAATATATTTTCAAGATATTGTTTTTAGATTAACTTCGTGAAATTTGAATAATTCTCATTTGTAATAATATTTATTGGCAAACGCCCATTATTTTTTGGAGAGCATATTTTTCCATCGTAGTTTAAATAAAATGATTATTTAATATTCTTCTCTTCTCCATGATAAAAAAGTTTACATATATTTTCATATATTATTGTGCTATTATTTAATTTATATGCTTATGTTTTCTGTGAATATAAAGTGTATCTTTAATAAATATATATCTTTAAAGTCAATTAATGTTAAAGGTTTTTACATTCTTTTATTTAAAAAAAAAAAAGGCATACTAGCCTGACCTAAGCAGAATAGGGAAATCAGGCACCAGTATATTTAAGTTTTGATAATAAGAAAAAGATAAGCGAGACAAAAAGTAGCACAGAATTTTTCAAAAATAACTATATAAATAATAATAAATTTAACAGTAATAATCGACCAATCACAGCAAAATAAATATTTTATGCTAAATTATATTCCTAAACTTACTGAAAGTATAAAAGTAATATTTAAATTATATGAACATAAAAAATTAAAATTTGGGCTTGAAAATAAAAATAAAACATTAATTCACATAACTAATATGGTAAACAAAATACATACTTTTGAAAAACAAATTATACCAGATTGTTGTAGTCGTAATTAAATAAACATAGGTGAAACTTTATTAAAAAAATAATTAAAAACCAGAGTTGACCAACACAGACAAGATTGGAAAAAAAATTACAGCACTGGTACACCAATAAAATTCAATCACAAATTTGATTTTATTAATAAAATATGTTAGACAGTGAAACAACAACAAAAACTGAAGATTACTTATACATAAACACAAAAAATAGATAAAACAATTCATTTTAAAACCAATACGAACAATTTAAATATACATTATGCTGATTTTTTTTTTCACGAACAGGCCTTAAAGACCACGCGAATACCATGAAGTAATGCTTCCTCTTCATCTGCCTCCTCTTCTCCCATATGCCCTCATGAGCTCCGCATGCTTACGTTTTCTCTCCTCAGACCACGCAACAACCTTTTTGGAGCGCTTCTTGCCCGCAAGAACCGTTATTCTCTTGAGAGCCTTCCTGTACTTATCTCTGTCTAAACAATCTTGGTCTCTTAGCCCCACTTGGTCCATATCATCCTTAATTTGTTTAAAATACCCGCTTAAATTCTTATGGCTGTGGATGCGCTGAAAGATCTTTATTTTTTCACAAAAGGTCTTTCAGGATTCATCCTTATCATATGGCCATAGAACCTCAGCCTTCCCACTCTTGCGTCAGTTTCTAGATCCGTTGTTTCCTTATATATTTCCTCATTTGACCTCAACCTGTATCCTTCAGGTGTTCTCCTAGGCCCGTAGATTCTTCTGAGAATTCTTCTTTCTATTTTCAGAAGGCTTTCTAGGCTGGGAAGACAAGAAGTTTCTGTTGCGTAGAGTACCACTGGCTTGACGACCGTGTTATAATGTCGTATTCTGGCTTTTAGAGACAATTCTTCTTTTTATAAAGCTCACTGGTGGCGAAGCTTAATTTATCTATTTTGGCGATTCTTTCCTTAAACCTTTCTCTCTCTGACCCATTGCTGCATATGATTTCTCCAAGGTATTTAAATCTCTCAATTACTTTAATCATTCCGTATTTGGTTTCAATTGATTTCATCTTAAAATTCGCGTCCGTGGTCCTCAATTCTGTCTTCTCAAAAGATATCTGTAAGCCTGTTTTCCTCGCTACTTCCGAGAGGGTGTTTATTTGGGCAATATTCTTCAGTTTCTGATAAAAGGGCAACGTCGTCTGCGTATGCGAGACATCCAATTTTGACGTTATTGTTCTTAGTCCCTAGGGTTGCACCTGAATTGTTGATTTTCCATAGTTCCTTTATGATCTTGTCGAGTACTACGTTAAACAGTGTTGGAGAAAACCCGTCACCCTGTCTGAGTCCCGTTTTGATCTGAAATGATTCACTGATATTTCCTTGGAATTTAACTTTAGATTCAGTCCCTGTCATCGTTAGCCCTATCAATTTTCTAGTTTTTTGGTCAACTCCGTATTCTTTTAGTATTTCAAGTAGTGTTTTCCTATCTACCGAATCATACGCCTTTTTGAAATCGTCAAAAGAGATAAAAAGGTTCTTTTTACTTTTAGTCCTGTAGTTTTTGATTAATAGCTTAAGGCTCAAAATTTGTTCCTGACATGATCTATTTTTTCTAAAACCGCCTTGGTACTCCCCGATTTCTGAATCTACTTGTGGATAGAGTCTGTTTAATAAAGCCTTTGAGAAAATCTTGTAGGTGACCGGTAGTAGGGAGATTCCCCTGTAGTTATTCACATCAGTTTTATCTCTCTTTTTATGTAGTGGGTGTATTAAGACTGTTTTCCATTCTTGGGGAATCTTCTCCTCGCTCCAGATATCCATCATCTGCTCCATGATTACCCTTCTGAAGTCATCCCCAGTCAGTTTCCACATCTCGGCAAGCACACCGTCCTCTCCTGCCGCTTTGTTGTTCTTTAAGGATGCGATGATTTCATCCAGTTCCACATCATCTGGTGGATATGATTCTGCTTCAGGAGGCATGTTATCGACCGTTGTCATTCTTTCCTGAGGTTCTTCACAGTTCAACAGTTCCTCAAAATACTTCGCAAAAATGTTACAGTTTTCCTCACTCGTCTGTGCTAGGGTTCCATCCTTCCTCCTCAATATCAGCCCAGATGCCGTGAAACCCTTGATTTTCCGTTTGCAACCTTTGTAGAAGAGGCTAGAGTTGTTCCTCTTGAAGTTCGTCTCTATTTCAGACAGTTGATTAGTGAAGAACTTTCTCCTTCTTTCTCTTAGGATTTTGTGAGCGATCTTTTTTTTTTCTATTATGTATTTCTTGTAACTTTCCTGCGTTCTGTTCTGGATTGCCTCCTGGCACTCGATGTTCCACCACTCCTTTCTCTTGGATTTTCCTCTTGGAGCTAGCTTTTCGGCCAAGTCCATCATGTTCTTGGTGGCTCCTCTCAGTTCTATGGGAGTCCTAAGTTTTTCCTAAACACTTCCCCGTTTTTTTTGACCAGGTTTTCCCTGTCTACTTTTCTACTTTTGATACCGTTCCTGAAATTATGCTTCTTCGTGGGAAAAATCTTAATTTTTATTTGTGACGGGTAGTGATCTGACGTTACGTTCATAGCCTTTCTTACTTTAACGTTCTGGATTTCTCTATAGGACTTACTGGAAATGGCTACGTTATCTAACTGAAATTCCTCAAGATGGTTGTTCTTGAGACCCATGTCTTTTTCTTGCTGGTTTTCGCTTTAAAATAAGTCGACATGATCTTCAAGTCAGCTTTTTGACATAGTCCTATTAATCTCTCGTCATTCCTGTTTGTTCTATTGTGTGCCGGGTATTTCCCTATAGATTTGCCTATTTGCGCGTTGAAATCTCCTAGTAGAATCTTTACATAGTTTCGCGGTATTTTGCTTACGATCTCTTCCAGGTTTCCCCAAAACGCCTCTACTTTCTCAGGGTTTTTCTTGTTGTCTACATTTATCGGTGCGTATCTTTTGTTTCCCACTTTAAGGGTGAGTGTGGAAATTCTCGAACTATTGCTGCTAAAGTCGACGACCGATCCCAAGAGATCCTTCCTAACCATAAAACCCGTTCCCAGGTGATGTAGGTTCTTCATGACGCGTTGTCCTACTTTTCCTTTGAAGATCCTGTATCCCTCATAATCAGTGGCTTCCGTGTCCGTGCATCTGGTTTCTTGCAATGCCATAATCGATATGTTTAACCGTTTAAGTTCTGATGTAAGCTGTCTTAGCTTTCCCACTTGTAATAATGAATTTATGTTGTAAGCTCCGAAATAATACTTCTTCTTAAGTCTGACTTTTTGTCCTGCTGTCTGTTGGTGTCGAAGATTCTTGTGGTACTCCGATTCACCATCTTGCTTCCCACTGCCAGGCACCCTGGAATCCGAACGCCCAGCTCTGTCTTCAGGGTAGTTGTTTTCGTGTGAAGCTTTGTTCATGATATTGTTCCATGTTTTGGGTCGGGTTGCCCCGACGAGATACAACTGAGGTAGTTAGCCCCAGAGGGTTTCGTTTTAGTTCCCCTACACCTAGCCTTTATCGGTGTAGGTTAATCCAGCCGTACCACGAGGAGGCACGCATCCCTGAGAGCTTTAGATGGAAAGGAAAAGGCGCTCTTAGGGATGCCGAAACATCAACATTATGCTGATATAATAAGTATTTTAAAAAATAAAATGTTGAAGCAGACGATGGATGCTAATTATGAATTCCTACCGGCCCTTGATGTTATGGACATGGCATTCTATAAAATTTGAATATTCATGAAAAACAATGTTAAAAATTAGAGTAATAAACAAATTTCTAAATGAGGGATGTAAAAGTATTCATATCTGATTCAAAACGTGACGCGAATGGGAGTCTTGTTATAGACAGCTGGCTAACAATCTGGCACCCAAGCTTGTATTAATAATAAAAACAATTACTTTTCTATGATAAAGTTCTATTATATATATATATATATATATATATATATATATATATATATATATATATATATATATATATATATATATAGTGTAATGTATTTAAAATATTTAAAGAATCAACTCTTTGATGATTGGTAAATAGAAAATTGGTAAATTTTAATTTTTTGTTCTTTCATTTGTTTTTATTTCAGAACCATTTTTCTCACTCATGGTTACCACGATATAAAAGTAAAGAGAATAGAAGAAGTGATATAAGAAGTAAAGGGAAGATAACACCATTACACATAGCTGCTTCCTTGGGTGATGATTCTGCTGTACGTTTGTTGAGTCAACACTACCAACCCACTGAAGCACTGGATAGCAACAGTAGTACTCCATTACACGAAGCAGTAAAAGGCCTCCATTTTGAGACAGTTCGAGTGCTCTTGGAACTTGGAGTAAGCGACGAAATAAAAGACAGCGAAGGTTTGACTCCTGTCGAGATCGCTCGACGTAAAAAAAGTCAGGCTATGCTGAAATTGTTTGATAGTAAGTATGTAGAATAATATATAAAAGTAATGAACAAACAATTGCTCGCTTTAATAAAACAGTTTTCTCATAACATTGGTTTGTTCATATTGAATTTTTGTGCATTAACGGTTTAGATGCATCGATCCAGATATGTCAAACAGCCAAAAATGAAAAAGTCTCTTAAAGGGTTAGGAAGTTTAGGATATTGTCACAAAAATCTTTCTAAAGCGCTATTGAAGTGGAAAATAATAAAATAGCGTTTTTCTTTAGTGTGCGAGTGAGTTAACTATTAGCAAAATAGATAATTATAAGTTAAAATAGATGAATTAAGGACAAGTTATAAATTTTATGTCTATAACATATAGATTTTATTTCACCCTGAAAAATAGAAAGGGCTCATTTTCTACCACAATAGATTAATCTGTGGTCTTCCTCTATTGTAGGATAAACAGTATTCACGATAAGAAGAACAAGCCTAATAAGAACTTGGTTATCATTTTATTGAAATTTAAAGAAGTTGCTAGCTACAATTAAATTTCCCAGTCTGCTGGTATTCCTCAAGGTAGTATCCTAGGCTCTATCCTTTACCCAGTTTATGCAGTTGATATCTCAATCCATCCTAGCACTGTCATCACCATATATGCCGATGACACCTGTGTCTTATCAGTTAGTAATGATCAATCAATTTCACCCCGAACTCTTCAATCAAACATTACAAACCTTGAAGAATGGTGTCAAAACTGGAGGATTAAAATTAATTCCAATAAATCCCATCAAATTACCTTTACTCTTCATCGTAAATCCATGACTGCCTGTCCTCCAGTATCCTTTAATGATACTCCGCTTATCCCTGTAGAACAAATCCGATATCTAGGACTCCACCTGGACAAGCATCTTAGTTGGAATCCTCATATAAGACTAAACGACAAGAAACCGCTCGGCGTTTCCGATCACTCCAGTACGTTCTAGACAAACGCTCTAAGCTTTCACTTAATTACAAAACATTCGTATATTTATATATATATATATAAAACAATAATAATACCTTATATGGACTAACGGCATTCAGGTTTGGAACTCCACTAATGGTACGAATTCCTGTCGTATCCAATCCATACAATCCATAATACTTCGTAAAATCCTTAATGCTCCTTACTTTGTCACAAATAAAGACCTTAATATACCATATGATTCCGATTTTACCCAATCCATCTGTATCTACCTGGAGGTATCCACCTGTTCATCCATAATAAAATCAGAACCATCCGAACCCTCTCCCTCTTGTTTCTAAGCTTGCTTCCCTTTAGATCGCAGATAATCCTACTAGGTGTCTGAAAAGAAGATGGCCTCGGGATCTCCTATTTTAAATACATTTTTAGAGTGGTACCAGTGGGTAGTTTCTCAACAAATGTTTTCATGTTATAATTCCCTGTTGTCAGTTGTAAATCTCATGAATAAATAAAAAAAAAATACTATACTTAAATATAATAAATGTAATTTTGGTTATCAAACATAGGTTAAGTTTATTGAGTGGATGAAAATATCTTTAAGATGAAAATATAACAAAATGTTTCGCTGATGCCGCTTATATATCAGAAAACGTAAGAGATTTCACTGGGACAAGCTAGTTGCGTTATCATTCCTTAGCATATCGTCTACTGCAAAGCCGATCTGTTTTGCATATCGATTAAAAAATCGAGATTATTGTCTATATTTCTTAACAAGAAAAGAAAAAAATATATTAAGCAGGCTAATTAATATTAACATAAAAAGATTTCTGTGATCAGAATCGAAAATATAGTACTTCCTGTTGCGCACCAATATTTCAACGGTTCGTTCGATTTGGTTTAAAGCTGAAAGAAACCTATGAATTAGTAAAAGTAGTATTAGTAGCAATAGACCTTGTGATATAGGTAGGTGTGGAAACAATGAAAATGGTGAGAAATCTATATCTAACTGGCCTCACACTTACCACACATATTTGATTTATACCAACTGGAAATAATACCTAAGCTGTTGTGTAGTAATTTGAAGCGCTTTTATCATTAGTCCTTCACGAGGATAATTTTCATATATATATTTTATAATATTCATATATAACATTTTATAATATTTTTCTGATGATTTTTTTTATCTTTTAGATCATTCTAAATCCACTGTTACACGTTCCACTAATCCTGATCTGAAGAGTATCAACGAAAGAGACAACGACGGACGTACTGCACTTCACATACTCGCGGGATACGGAATGGCTGAAGAAGTTGAGCGTTTTCTTAAACTCGGTGCATATCCAAACGTCAGGGACAAGAAGGGGATGACTCCGTCTCATTATGCCATCCGAAGTGGAAACCAAGAAACAATTAATTTACTGAGCAGTGCTATTGGTACTACTAAGCATTGATTTCAATACCACTGGAGAGCATAACGGTAATATAATACTGTACAAAGACTTGATGGTAGATAGATTCTAGAACATAAAACTGTGTACGTACAAATACAGTATGTAAGGAAGGAAACTTTAGGGAGGTGTGAGTTTTTGTCGTCAAGATGTACCAGCATCATACTATTCTTTTGGTACGGAATCTCAAATTATATTCGATGTTCGAAATTTTGATTGTTTTTTTTAGGCCAGATGTTGAGGGCGGGGGATTAATACCAGAGTTAAAAACCCCAACTGGATTCGGGAGGCGAAGTCCCCCTTATTTTATTCCTTTAATTTCGGTTATCAGGTTGTCGGTGAAGGTGCGGTGCTGTGCACACGCGTTAGCCCGCTCGGCCACCCAGCCCCCACGATGATCGAACCTGTACTACGTGAGATGGTGATACATAGGGAAAGTTCTTAAACTAAGCGCTGAGCTCATAAATGGCATCGGAAATTTATCAATCTGTTCCTGGAACTGGAACCACCGATATAATTCATACCGTTTCTTTATTCAGCGAGTGCATTGCCGTGGTTTTTGAGGTACATAAATCGGGTGGTTGTAAGCTAATTGTGAGCAGAGTGTTATTTCTCAATTCATAAAACGTGTTAAGCTTCCGCTGCATTATATATCTATATCGGTTCATTGATGGATTCCATGGATCATTAGAATCCATCAATGAAATTTGCATTGAATTTAGAAACTCACCCATTTTTCTTTATTCATCACAATTGGAATGCAAAGAACAAAGCTAAAAATGTTTTTTAATTAATATGATGTGGAATCCTGGATATGTTAACATGAGATGTACCTTATCAGTACCGGTTCCGGTTGTATCTGATTTGATCCTGTTACAAATATCTTACTATAACAGACTTACGATGGACATGACTAATTATCTTTATGTAAATTCATTAATGACTGACATAATTCGACTTAATCACCATACATCTCTATTGACGGACGAATGTACATTTTTTTCATTAGACATTTTCATATTTAAGATTCATTCCCGATTTATCCATTATTCAGTGGTCATAAGGTAATGTATTATGAAAATAGTTTATTTTTATACTGTCAATATTAAGAATAATGTATCTACCTTGCATCCAAGTTTTAATAAATGTTAAAATCAAATCTTAATAAAAATTGTTGTTTTTTTCCAACATGTTTTTCACTTTACCTTTAATATGAAATTTAACTTGCATTAATCATTATTTTATAATTTTTGTCGATACAAATTAATATAATGATACGGAAATATATTCCATCATCACCATACGCTGGTAAAGGAAACATCCAAAACGACCTGACACTCTTCTGGTAGTAGTATGAGATAACTGAACAGCATCGAGTATTTCTTTTTCAACGTTTGCAGTTCGTCGAAATCTTTGTCGACTGGCGTTTACTGGTATAGGTTTTAGCGTGCTATTGATCCCTAAGACATCTTTAAATGACCTCAAACGTTCTACGATTTGGTATTCTTCGGTTACGAAATTTTTCACGGAATTTACGCCTTTATTCACAGTTCTGTATTCCAACACTGCAATCACCTACTCTGGAATCAACTTACTCACTGTCTGCATAGATATAACTTTTCCAACAAGAAATATCGCTAAAATGACATTACTCAAAAATGTCGAAATTGTAATTAGTCATTCTGTCAATTGAAAGGCTCAGACTGAGGTTGTGTGGTTTATAAAAGCAAAAAGAGTAACCAAATTTGTGTTGCCTACCGTCAGAGATGGGCAAAATCGTAATCAATGATTATATGATTACAACTGAAAATAAAACTTTATGACCACGCCAATTTTATACTTGATACAGTAGCACTATAATTATAGCAAAAGTATGAAACGATTACCTGATTACATGATTACAATCGTAATCATAAATCTGATTACGATTACAATCGTGTAATCAAGTAATCAAAATCAATGTAATCGTAATCATGTAATCGAATTCACTGTATTCATAATCAAGTAATCAAAATCACTGTAATCGTAATCACGCAATCATAATCGCATAATCGTAATCAAAAAATCAAATACACACGATTTTCCTCTGTTTAGAAATAGACTAAAAGAAAAACTAGTATAAAACATTTTCTATTTTCTTTTAATTTCCGGGAACACTTTCTATGATAATACCGTCGGTTTACCGATTAACATTTTCCTAATTTTCATTCCCTTTTCATCTTTTATCTCATGAATGAAGGGTCAGGTGTTTACCGTTCCAACACTTTTCGGCTATGTAGAGAAAAGTGGAAATGGGAATAGGGTGTAGAAAATTTTCCGAATTTTCATTCGCTTTTCCTCTTTAAACTCATAAATGGATGCTCGGTTTTTCACCGTTCCTACACTTTTCCGGCTACATTGATGTAAGCGAATATGGAGAATTAGTGTAGAAAATTTTCCGAATTTTCATTAGCTTTTCCTCTTTAAACTCGTAAATGGATGCTCACTTTTTCACAGTTCCAACACTTTTCCGGCTATATTGATATAGGCGAATATGGAGAATTAGTGTAGAAATTTTTTTGAATTTTCATTCACTTTTCCGCTTTTATCTCTCTCGGTTTTTCACTGTTCCAATCATTTTATAGCTGTTTAGAGGAAGGCCAATGGAAACAGGAGTGGTACAAATTTTCATTAACTTTTCCTATTTTTTCTTGGAAATGAAGGATCAGTTTTTCACCGTTCCAACAGTTTTCCGGCTTTTTAGAGGTAAATGGGGAAATTTTGAAGAAAATTTTCCAATTTTCATTCACTTTTCCTAAGATAAAAGATTTAAATAAAAGAGGAAAAGCGAATGGAAATTCGGAAAATTTTCTACACCATTTCTCCGCTTTTTTCTACATCTATATAGTCGGAAATGTGTTGGTGAAAAATTTACGTAAACAACATATGTTCCCAAAAACAAGTTCAAAAAAGGTTACGATGAATTCAGAATTGTATTTGCGAATAATACAAAAAGTACATTATTTATCTTGACTTATACCCATATTTATTTGAAAACTTTCTGAATTCTTTGCAAAATGAATAAAAAAATTATCGAAATCGATAAGAATTATCTCCGAGATGAAATAATTTTTGCAGCCGAAGGAGCAAAGTGGGCTCAAACAATTTTTTTTATGGAGAAATAAAGTTGAAATTTGTATTTCGCATCTGGATAAACTCTCAAATACAAATTTTCATTGCAATCGAAAAATAAAAATGGTTTGCCACAAATTGCGCCAAGTGAGGAAAGTGGGTTCCAATATTTTTAAAAAAAAGTTATGAATGATTGACATTTTTCTGTAACTTGAAAAGTACAGAAATGCTACTGCACTTCCTATGCAAGTACAAATGAAAGTTAATTTAGGAATATATAATAATAGAAAAAAAAATTGGAAACATGCAAATTCATTTATGTTTTCCTCAAATTACGGTCAAATTTCGACTACTGGACGGACACTAGTTTTAATAAATTCATTAGTTTCTATTGTTTTTTTAAGCTAGGTTAATCAGATATAGGGTCTTTATTTTTATGATTTTAACTAAAAAAAAACGTCTGCCAAGTAAGGTTAGTATAGCTTCCTCACCATTCTCATTGCCTAAAAAATATCTATATTAAAAGGTCTAAAAAATTTCTTATGAGAATAAAATCTCTGGAAGAAGCCGTTTTGGAAATTCGGTATCCCTGAGCATATACGGGCTTGATATCCACGAGTTTTGTTTATAAGCAAATACTAAAATGCAAAAAGTTTCGCATTTGCAGATTGCATATTTGATAATAAGTAATAAAAAAAAAATTAGTGCATCCTGAATATGTATCTCGTTACTGTTATTGCAAATGACCTATATAAAAATTGAGTAATCAAATAACACATTTCCTGATCTGAAAGCGAAAGTATTTTTATTTGGAATATTAGATAGAATTTGATAAAATTGATGCCTATTTTATTTTACGTTAACCAATCACTAAATACCCTCCATATTTGAGAAACATCGAACTTGTGGCTTTAGAGATATAATCCTATCGAAGAAAACACGTTTGCGCATATATAAGAGAAAGCAATGGACAGAATTCAATAAAATTGACCCAACGTTATTTTTTCACAAATATCTATCTTTTATCAGCTTTGAGCAAAATCGATCGAGCTGTTTCTAAAATATTGGCCTCTACAAAAATGCTTTTGCGCCAGCGTAAGCGGAAGTGCTGGTTAGAATTTAATAAAATAAATATGGGACCACCTAGACACCTACCCGCACAATCCCTGATAATTTTATGAAAATCGGATAAACTGTAGTAGGTGATATGCCCGTTAAATCGATTTGACTACAGACAGACAGGCAATTTGATCCTTGATGTCTGAAACGTAAAGCGGGAGTGGAAATTTTCGATGCTGAGCACAAATGTTTTTGTTACCTTTCGCACGAATACAATGGTTTCCTACCAACGGTAGTGAGGAAGCAATAATATTTTAACGAAGTTATCGATTTTTCCAAAAGTACTGCATTGAGACGACGAAAATCTCCCAGTTTATTTATGAATTACAGATACAAGATTATCTACATCTTGGTTTATTCTTGATTATGTGTTTTAATGAACTGTATTCATTGAAAACAAAATTCTATGTGAATTATATAAGATGTATTATAGTATAGATATTATATATATCTATTCCATATTATATATATATATATATTCCATAAAATTAAGTGGATCATACAGATATATATATATATCTGTATATATATATATATATATATATACAGATATATATATATATCTGTATATATATATATATATATATATATATATATATATATATATATATATATATATATATATATATACAGATATATATATATATCTGTATGATCCACTTAATTTTATGGAATAAAAGATAAGAAACAATATAAAGGAATGGTTGAATTGTTTCTGAAGGCTTTTCCAAGAAAAAAAAAACCTATCTTAACTAGATTAAAATGCTTTTAGAGATACATATTTAAAAGTTTTATTCCACGCTTTATCATACAATAAATGTGATTTCGGCAATAAACCGAAATCCAGTCGTTAAATTTTCATTATTTATTTATATAGTTCAGATCACTTACAGAAACAAATACGGAGAAATTAGAAAAAAAAAAAAAAAAAATATATATATATATATATATATATATATATATATATATATATATTTCATTTTTGGGGAGGCTTCAGCCCGAACGTTTCCTCTCTGCGGGGATACGTCAGAGGAATACATTGTCAGTTCTGGAAGTTTTTCAGTTGTATGGGAAGGAGAAATAATTCACCCACAATTACCATCTATAATACTTACCCCATCGTACTTTGATTAATGTCTTACTCCTAATCGCTATAATGGTGAGCGAAGAACCTTCGACCCCGGGAGAGGGGTAGGGGGTTGGTAGGGATTGGCAGGAGAAGCCAGTCGCCGACACGAACATGGACCGGCTGGAGGTTGACGTTCAAGATGCCTTCAAGAGTTACGGAACAGCTTGCGTCCTCAGGGGTCTTTCCATGGCAGTTCATCCAGGCACCATGTGAGTACTTCAAAATGTGTACAGTCATAGTATGAATGATTCCCAAATAATATAGGCATACTGAAAATTAAAAAAAACAAAAAAAAAACATATATATTGACAAAACAATATTTCGGTCAATTTAGTCTACCACACATACAATTTTAACGATTAGATTTTTAAAAAACAGTATCAATTATTTATTTTTTAATCATAGAAATAAATAGATCTGGGTCGTTAACTATTAAAATCTCCTGGTTATGTTATTTCGTTTTATGAGAGAAAATAAAACATACATGAGATAATGATACTATAAACATAACAACACGCTAAGAAAGAAATAAACATAAAAAATAAATATATAAAAAGTAAAAATAAATCCACTGATTAATAATTACAAATAAATAAATTCTTTAAATGAGAAAATCGTTTATATAATATCATAACATTTATATTTTTGTATGCAAAAACAAAAGTGTCAAGAATAACTGAGTTGATTTTTTTTTCAATCACAAAAATAATTGGAAGGAAATAGTCATCGATAACATTTAGTAACAAAAAAGAATATCAGTTATATCTCAGCAGTTTTATGTTTTGTTTTGTTTTTAAGCAACTGATTTATGCAATTTAGTGAGTTATAATATATTTTTTTTTATTATTATTATTATCCCCCCCAAAAAAAAAATTGACAAAAGAAATTTACTCTTGATGACATGAATCATAAGATCGTGCTTAGAACTAAAGTTATATGTTTTATGTAGTCTGTATGTAGGTATGTATGTAGTATGTATGTATGCAGGTTGCATACTGAAATAAGATGATTTTTTTTGCTGTAGTTTTATTTTTAAACAAAATTCAGAAAAAATATTTTTTTTTTTCAAATGGATACGTACTTATTACGATAGCTTTATCAACTATTGTTATATATATTTATATCAAATTTATTGTAAATTATATTAAAACGAAGTACATGAATATGAGAATAATAAAGTCTCGAAACGGTCGTCTAAATCGTTCTTATCTCAATTGTTAAATAATATATATATATTTTTATGGATCTAATGGATCAGGTTTAGTCTATAAAAACAAATACTTTTTGACGAAAATTTAGAGACTTTATTGTTCTCATATTAATGTCCTACATTAAAAAAAAAGTTTTGTAGGAAATGTTTCATTATTAATCCTTACCTGCGATTTAGGTATGGATTCTATCTTTACAAATTTGATTTTAAAAATAAATAAAATAATTTACAATTAATTTTAATGAATGAAATCTTTTTTAGTAAAATTTAGATAGTTGAGCAATATATCAATTTTGCTCGATTCCTTAAAAACAATTTTTATGTAAATATTTAAAAACTTCAATTTATTATCTCATAATCAACCGAAGTCATTTTCATTATATGTATATATTTTAAAAGATATATTTTATTTATGTTTTCTTTCTCTCAGTTACTCTCTGCTGTATCATTTTATTACTTTGGGCACATACCCCTTGAAATATCGTAATACAATGTATCGCAAGTGAGGAATAAGATTGACACGACTCAATAATAAGCTTTTAAGAAATTGGTACTTTTATTAATATAGAGATACTTATGTATATTTACATAGGCAAATGTTCATGTTTATATACCACTAGTTTAGAAGAAAATCGGCACAATAATCATTTTATTATAAATTTTCCACATTTGCGTAATCAACAAGATTATTATAATCCCAAAAAAATTAAAGACAAAAAAATTTATTTAGTTAACTAAAAATCATCCATTTCAATTACCTCCTTGTTAACTTTAAAAAAAAATTGTAAACAACACGTTAAGTATTGGTAATTCCACTTAGAAGCTTTACAGTTATAGAAAAAGGCATTAGAAGCACAAAAATGTAAAAAAATCACGTTATTAAAACCATTGTATTTTGGTATGAAAAAAAAAAGGAAAAAATAATTTAAATTTATGTGATGACTTCTTTCACTGCTTGTAGGATTGTTTGTACAATTACGCATTGGAATTGTGAAAAGTTCGGTTTTTATTCATTTAAATTTGTGAATGTTATATAAAACTTGTTCATCGTTTTAATTTGTAATTTATGTGAATTACGGTGTTTTATATTATTTGTGATTGTTCATTTTACATTATATATATTTACACTTAAGTGGCTTTGTCTCGAAAAGATCAGTTTTCTTTTCCCTCTTCAATGTGACCTAGAGATAATTGCTAATTCATTGCCGTTCTTATTTAAAACTAAAAGAGAGTTCTGTATTTTTCATAAGCGAAATGTTTGATCATAGCTCATTTCTCTTATATTTCACCCACTGATCTATGAATAATCAATATTAGTATTTAATTCGCAAATAATATATTTCTGTATATGTTTATCACATTTCAACAATATGAGGTATCGAACAATAGTTTATTTATATCTTCGTACACATACTTTTGAATTGCCAAGTGTATAATCTTTCCCTCCCCTCCCTCCTCCAGAAAAAAAAATTTAGTATTAGACCTTTTAAAACATTAACTTTTTTTTGAAAACTTTATTTACATATATAAAGTTTTCAAAAAAAAAAAAAAAAAAAAAAAAAACTTTATTTTAAGAATTTGTTTTAAAAGTGCAATTTTGACAAAATATGTAGTTAAATATTACAGTAGGAAAAAGTAATATTGCTTTTGTAAATTTTAAATTGATATCAATTTTTTTTAATTTTTTTTTTAATTGTTCGTATGATAAATATTAGTTGTAATAGAATACGCTCGCATTATTTAAATTTTTGGCTGAAAACGGTGGAAAATAACCAATATAATAAAAATAATTAATATTGCTAGGAAATTAATTTATCCTAGAATTAATTTCCCCCATTTTCAGCAAAACATTTAAAGAATGCGTGGGTATTCTATAGCAACTATTATTTTTCATCCAGGCCCTTTTCTTTTACTCTTCCTTCTAGTATGTTAAAAGACTAATTTATAGCATTTAATTTCTGCGTTGTAAGTTTTAAGTATCCTTTCTCTCTCTCTCTCTCTATCTCCTCTCTCTCTCTCTCTCTCTCTCTCTCTCTCTATGTATATATATATATATATATATATATATATATATATATATATATGATCTGAGGAAAACGTACAGTAACTATTTACAATATTTTATTTTAATTGATGGGTAGTAATTATCATGAGTTAAATTATCTATAATACAAAACTGCTAATTATTAAATAAATAAAAACAATCGAAAATGGAATGGTGTGATTTTCGAATTCTAAGCATTATTGATACAAATTTGTTGAGTATTAATTTACTGACTAAAATTAAATATGCCAAGCTTAGAGCAATAGTAAATGTTGGAAAACAACGGGAGCAAATTCTAATCGAATAAAATATGTTTTGTCATTAAATTTAACAAAAAAAAGTTATAACTAATATGCTTTCAATCTGTTCATAAAAAACACATAAATTTATTGTAAAGTGCTAATAATATTATGAAAAACATTTATAACCCATAAGAAAGTTATAAACCGCATCTCACATAAGTGGCGAAGTAAAAAGCTGTTGGATTATGGCAATGACCCAGTTGGTTAGAGCAGTGCAGTCTATACAGGAACGCCATAAGGATATTAAAATTACAGTATTTAAAATATTACGCTATTAACTCAGTTATAAGATCATTAACAAAGATATCTTCAACATCAAAGGGCACAGCATTATAAGAAATTTAATGGGGCGGTCAAATTATTGATATTTTCGCTTTTGTATTTAAGAAAACCCCTCAGTAAAGGCTGCTGACACCAAGTAAATGTAATTACATTAGCTTTTATAAAAGGAAAATATAAAAGAAAAAATAATAATATTAGAAAGAAATTTCAATGAAAAACATACATATTATATACATATAAATAACACTAAGCGGTTTATAAAATTGATGAAAAAAAATAACCACTCTTTGTCCGGTAACTAGATGAAACAGAAGTTTACAAAATAATTACGAGTTCGTGTCCCGGTGCCGTAGGATCTTTTTAATTTCGCATTTATCTGCTGCTTTCTCTCCTGGCTCTGGAAAATCCCGGTATAGCCTAAAATGTGAGGAAGGAGAGGACAAAAAAAAATTGTTTAAAAGATAAGGTATTCGAAACTGAAAATAATAGGTGCATTACAGGAGAAATGTGAAACTAACATTCTTTATTATTTAAATACAATGCTTCCCTCCCTTCGGTATTGAGTAAGCTAATATAAAAATATGTTACTTAAAATGTTGTCAAAATATAATCCTACTGTTAAAAAAAGTAATGCATTCATTACTTTACGATAGTTAACATCGTGACCTACAAAAAAGTCCACATTGGATTCCAGGCAGAAAACAAGGCTATTTAAGTTCTGTTTTGTAAAAGTAAGTCCCGTTCTATTTAGTTCTATCTAGTGCGAAATAAATATTTAGTTTAAATAATAACCAACTGACGCACTATTAATGAGACATATTGTTCTTCAAATTCATGCAGAATAGACCTTTGTCAATCGGTCAATCAAACCAGGAGAAAAGAGAAAAATATGGAAGAGACCTCATCAACTGTAAATCTATATTATCTATAATTCTTATGATTATATACACTTTTGCTTCCACTGTTTTTTAAAAAAAGAGACGAATAAACGATCTTGAGAGGGTATGATGTAAGATTAAAGTACATACGTGATCAACTTTGGGAGGGATTGTCATCTCTGTTTGTCAAAAAAAAAAAAAACATTTTAAGAACAATGTTATTGGCTTAAAAACGCTATGTTTTATTTTTAATTAAATAATGAATTACTCTTGTTAACGTTTACGTTGCCTCTTACTGGACTGCAGATTCTCAACTTACTGAACAATTTCTTGGTTTATTCAGCTTAAATCCAAATTAGTTGCATCAAGGTTTGTTACTGATAAACTGAGATCTGCTTTGAGTATTGTAAAAAAATATTATGTGAAAATTTGTCCCTTCTACGTAAGAGCATTTTCAGCCAAAAATTATTATAATAAGTTATTTAAAACAATC